TATTTGTAACGTGTCTAAATTCGGTTGTTCAGGATTACTTCAAAGTTGAGTGTGTTCAGCAGCACGACCAGCGTTCCACACAGCAGCATGCACATAGCTCATAGAAATGCATGGTATAGTGGTGAGTGTCTTAGCAACGTGGAATGTCTTGTGACGTAGCTCCGCTCGAGTATTGAAAGTTTATTCAACTACATTGTATATTTAACAGTTAATCCAATGTATGTTACGATAAGGTGTGGGTATGTCTCTTGATCTGTTGGTTTTTGATGAAACTTGATGCATATATGCTCTGGGCTAATGTGTGGATTTGATTGGGTTTGAATCCATGCATATTAATAACTAATTTGCATGATAATTAGCTCATTTTAGCTGTACAATGACTGTTCTCCTGATATCGAAAGAACCACTCATTGGATTTTGATGAAACTTGATTGATATCTTCCTACCGGGACCATGAGAACTTCTAGAGTATAAGCCCACCCCTCTATTTTTAGACATTTAATGATTTGAGGGCATCCCTGTTCCATAGGCTCAGGGTGTTTTTACTGGGCGTCGACGAAATTTATTAAAATATGCATGTAAAAAGTGTTTCATTGCATAAAAATTGATTGGCACAGTAGTTTTGTTTGTACTTTTATGAGAAAACTTGCATTAATTTCAGAGTGCATGGCGAATGTATGCAACATAATTCACATCCTTTCTATTCTGTTATTGATGTTGTAACCCTAAAATAATCTCTTTGAGAAGTTGCTTTCGAAACTCCAAAAATGTGACTGTTAATCGTGTTGTCATCGCGGTAATTCACTTCAGCATTCTGTTAAAACAAATTGCATCGACAATTGGAAAATCTGGGATAATTGGTTTAATAATGAAAAACATGCATATTAGTTATCTAACCATTTTCTAGTATCCAAAAAAACTGCCTGCTAGTCACCCTAAAAAAATACAATAACTGAAATATACATGTTTGAGTCCTGGTTTATTAACTTGTGTTATCTCTGGAGATGAACAAGTTCTAAATCATGCTCAAAACGTTATGTTGGACATATGCCAG